ATGCACCCAGGGCAACTCACAGGCAGCTCCTTGTCTCCTCTGACCTCTCTCTTAAAGACATGTGATGTCAGTTAGCAGCCCCAGACTCCACAAGGAAGCCACCTGAGCTGTGTTTTCTCCTGTAAAGGAAGATTTTTGCTCCAGGATACACACAAGACTCCTCCCAGGCGTGTCCTGGAGCCTTTCCACCTCTGCTTTAGGGCAGCTAGTCCTGAGTAGCACCCCCAGACTCCTCCAAGGAAGATATCCAAGAGGTTTTTCTCCCTGAAAGGATGCTCTCTTCTCTGGGATCTGCCCAAGGTTCCTCCCAGATGACACAGAGAAATGATTACTTGTTTGGAGATTTATTTACTTATTTACTTCTAGAAAACGGCTTAGCAACTTCTTTGCTTCCGCATAGCAAGTTAGAGTATTACTTATCCTAATTTTTGAATATTGCTGAGAATCCTGCTTGCCCAGCCTGTTCTGTGGAATTTTACCAAGGACTACTGTGTTCATCAAAACAAAGCAGTTCACTGTGAAAATCTACCAAGAACTGCAATGTTCAGCAAAATACTATGCTTTTGTCCTTGACTAACAGGTGTGCTCTAGCGAGTTGGAGTCTTGGTAATGAGTAAAGGTCGCCATCTACGGATGGTAGAAGTTCTCTTGGTTCTCTTAGAGAAGACAAAATGAGTAAATTAGTTTATTACAGTTTAGGAAAACCATGGAAGTGGCAAAGAACATTTTATTACACAGTTATCTGCTCCTTTACGGGCAGTTGACGATACGTATGTACCAGTTGTCAAGTTTGAGTTTGGTGTCTGAGAGGTAAGCATTTTGCTTTTTTTTTTTTCAAGTGAGAAATACTTTTTTCTTGCTCTGGAATAGATTAACTTCTGCAGGGACCTGTGACCATGCTATTTTACCAGGTTACTGGTACCTTAGAGGAAACTGTCATTAAATAGCCTGACCACAGCCTGTCCCAGGAGAAGAGGCTGCAGTAAAACGGGAGCTTACAGGAAAATGAGCCCCCAGGAAGCCTGGCAGGCATGGGAACGTCAGGGACATCCCTTTCTAAACCTGTGCTGTAGAGCAGGGCAGCCTGCTTGAACAGCACTTCTCTCACAAGGACTGGGCAGAGTGGGAGGAGAGGCAGTGCCCTTGCTGACTCCTCCCAGCTCTGACAAGCTGCCTTTCTCCAGAGGGCTGGGTGTGGTGTCGTTCCCTGTGTGAATCATGTCAGCAGACTGAATGCTTTGTGGCGAATCAGAAGTGAGGTGGTCATGAGACAGACAATCTGGAAAATGAAATGGAAACGTACTCCTGTGGCTCCTCCTGCCTGGGTTTGTCAGCTGCAGGAATCCCTGGAGCTGGAGCACATCTTGCACAGTGAACGGGGACCTGCGTGCTGCAGGACCTAAGCAAGTCACTGCTTGGTATCGCTCTCACCAAGACACTTATTGCGTGACCTTCTTGGGGCCTTTGTCTGGTGCAGACCTTCACAGCATAACTTTCTTGCCTCGGACTGTACTATGAACCAGACGCTTCAGGATCAAAAGGGCTTACTGCCTAGAGAAAATGCTCTCTCCTTTGCGGAGGTACAGCTGAGGAGATGGAACTCAGCTCTTAATTCTGTGGTGAATTTTAAGTTCCCTTTTAATGGCAATTCTAAGTTTAGAGGAGTCTGTTCGACGTCCTTTCCCTAGCTTAAAAGGAAAGGGGTGAAACAATGAAGGTTTTGCCAAGAAAATCTGGAACTTCAGGCAATTTTCTTGGGTTTTTTGGCCAATAAATCTCTTGGGAGGTGTGTCTGTAGTCCCATAGCTCTAAATACAAACGTTAACCACTCTTTTTAGACTTGGCTAACTGCCCCCCACTGGTGTGCTGTTCACAAAGAGTGCAGCATTCTAACTCACGGCTGGCACCTTTTTCCCTCTTGAGATGCATCTGGTGTGTGCAAGACTGCGTGTGCAAACTGTTTCTGCCAATCTTGATCTCAGATGACTGGCATCTGAGAAGCCTGGATACGAGATGCACACTGAGCTGAAATGGTGAGCACGTTTACGCATCTTTAAAAGGAAAGTGTTCCTGAAATGGGTCTAGAACGCACATTACACAACTCCAGTTTCTGTACAAGGTGCCTGAACTGATCTCCTGTGTACTTGAGATCTGAGGAGGTGGCGCGTGGGCCATCCACCATCCACTATCCTACAATATCCAGACCCTTGCATGAGGCTACTTGAAATGAAGTAAAACCAATTACTGAGAGAGAAAAAGCCTTTTGTACTCTAAAAGCAACACTTTTCTCTGCCCCTGACACAGGGCTTCCTGATTATTCAAAACCTTTTAAATTGTATCGTGATGAAAATAAAGGAACAAGCTTTAGGAGACATGGATGACCTGTTGCCTTTTCTTCATTAGAACCAGTGACTAAAGGAACTCCTCTTTGCATTAGAGCAATAGCAGCAGCAGCTGAAATGGCAGAAAAACCCAGGACAATTTTTTCAGGACATCAACTAACTGTCTGTTTACCCCATGAAGTAGAAATATTATTAAAACAATAATTATTATTAAAAACAACAATTATCTCCTCAAAGAGCGCATAGATATGAGATGATTCTATTTTTGGCTGATAATTTGAAACTGGAAAGATGCAATACATTAAACCCTGCCACCCTAACGCCTTTACCCTCTGATGGAGAAAAAGATAACCATAACTGTGTTCAATTATTAAGTGAAACCAGCAAACCAGAAGACAATTTGGAGGATCAACCTTTAGATAACCCTGATTTGAACCTCTTCACAGATGGCTCCTCCTATTTTGAAGAAGGTTGAATAGTTACCAGTTTTGCAGTGACCACAGAAACACAGGTACTGTTGGTGGAACTTTTATCTGCACCTTTAGGTGCACAAGGAGTAGAAATAATTGCCCTAGCAGAAGCTGCAAAATATGCAATTGGACAAGAATTAACATTTATACGGACCCTAAATATGCTTTTGTTATCTGCCATGCGACTGGGACTTTATGGAAATAATGAGGTTTTTGAACATCAGCAGGGAAGACTATGGCCCATGGAAACCCATGGAAAGCAGATCAAGGAATTGCTATAGGCAAAACAATTACCCTCTGAGATTTCTGTGATATATATAAAAGCACACACTCAAAGGCAAGATATTATTTCAGAGGGAAATTCTTCAGCTGACCAAGCAGCTAGAGCTGCAGCATGACAGGTTGTGTCTATCATGTCATTCTCACAACACGAGGCGATATCCGAACTTCTAGATATAAATAAGTTATATGAAGATGTCCCTGATGAAGAAAAAGAGCAGTGGATCTGGCTTGGAGCCCAGCAACAAGGGGAACAATGGATGCTCAATAACAACCCTCTTCTTCCAAAAAGGTATTTATTACCATTTACGTGATGGCATCACAAAAAACTCATGGGGGGGG